AAATAGAATAAATAGAATAAATAGAATAAATAGAATAAATAGAATAAGTCTAGGAAAAGCAGCAAGTTGTTACTGTATCATAATTCCTGGACAGGCACAGCTCAAATTGCTGTTAGCAACCAAAATCAATTCTATTATTTCAGATAAGCAAACAAGTAGCTTAAATTACTTTTATGCCAAAGCAGAAGCTCATCATGATACAAAGATATTCCATACAATACATAACAATACAATAGAAAGCACAGCAATAATAGTAGGATAGTTAAACCCTAGGCTACAGTAAGGGAGAATAAACTCAAGTGCAGCAGCCACAGGCACACAAACAAAGGAAAAATATCACAGAATCACAAGGTTGGAAACGACCTGCAAGATCATCTAGTCCAACCACCCTCCCATTCCTATTAGTACCACAAGCACTAAACCAGATCTCGTAGCTCCTTATCCAGGCACCTCTTGAACACTGCCAGGGACAGCAACTCCACCACCTCCCTGGGCAGCCATTCCAGTGCCTGACCACCCTTTGAGAGAAAAAGTTTCTCCTAATATCCAATCTAAACATCCTCTGGTATAACTTCTGGCCGTTTCCTCAGGTCCTACTATTTGCTGGGAGAAGAGGCCAGACCCTTTTGCACCACAACCTCCCTTCAGGAAGTTGTAGAGTGCAATGAGGTCTCCCCTGAGCCTCCTCTTCTCCAGACTGAACAATCCCAGCTCCCTCAGCTGCTCCTCATAAGACTTGTGCTCCAGACCCCTCACCAGTTTTGTTGCCCTTCTCTGGGCACATTCCAGGGCTTCAATGTCTTTCTTGTAGTGAGGGGCCCAAAACTGAACACAGTACTCAAGGTGCAGTCTCACCAGTACTGAGTAGAGGGGGATGATCACCTCCCTGTTCCTGCTGGCCACACTATTTCTAATGCAGGCCAGGATGCCATTGGCCCTCTTGGCCACCTAGGCACACTGTCAGCTCATGCTCAGCCGAGCATCAACCAACACCCCCAGGTCCCTTTCCTCTTCACAGTCATCCAACCACCCATCGCCAAGCCTGTAATGCTACATAGGGTTGTTATGGCCAAAGTGCAGGAAGGAGGAGGAGAAAAAAAAAAAAAAAAAAAAAAAAAAAAAATGCTTACCTTCAAAAGACCTCTGGAACAGAAGAACCCCCAGCAAAACACTCTTACTATGCCCCTACTGACCCTTAAATGAGGTCTGGGAAGGGTGGATCCTGTCTTCACGCCTCCCAATCACTCAGCAGCATTGCATACACCTGAGCTCCCCTGGGTTGGCCCTGCCTTCTACCAAGTGCTCAATCAGTACTTCAAGTTGTGACTTAGCATTTCTGCTACTGGGTATTTAAGCTGTTGATGAATCACAGCAGGGACAGAAAATTGAAGTAATTTTTTGTGGTGTGGGAGTTGTTATTTTCCTTTGTGGCTGCTGCCACCAGGTGGCTAATTAGTGTATTTGATTGTAACCCATAAATACAGTTTCTCTTTTACCTCTAGATGGTAAGTACTTTTATATATATTGTATACATTATGTATAAATGTGTTTCCTAGAGCTGTTTTTTTTTTCTTGTATGTGATGCAAAAAATTTAAAAATAATTGATAAAGGGAAGATGTCATTAGTAGATAAAAATTGAGCCCAAAGGAGAACATATGTGGAAGGAGTTTTTCTAGAGGTCAAAGAATGCGTTTATCATTTTGTTGGTTAAAGGGTAAGTCAGCTGATAAAACTGCTGAGTTTCAAAATTTGCTGAAGTTTAATAAAAGGAATTAAACATGGAGAAAAAGATTTCGTCTTCCTTTGTGACTTTTACTTCATTTGTTGTCTTTTAGATAGTTAGAATAATTTCCATGACTCAAGTTTCCCTTTTCTTTGTGGAGGGGTGGAAAAAAAACCCAAAACATGTGAAAATTGCATTGTAGGAAAAAGACCTCATCCTAAGGTAATTTTTTTTTTTTAATTATTTTCTTAATATGGACTTAGCTAAGGCAATAAAGCTGAAAAGCTTGAAAATCACTTGATTTAAATTCAGGCATGTCCTGTAGTGATAATTTCACCAGTAACACAAAGAAACTGTTTGCTTAGTGCAGATGTGTATAGAACCTGAGTGTGGGATGGCCTTCTAGAATGCCACGGTTTTACTGCACGGTTAGATTAATAGCGAAGAGGAAAATTGATTATAGGGAACTACATAATAGCATGGGGGCTGTTCAAAGCTAGCTGTAATGGCTTATTGTTTTCCATGTTACTTTACAATTAAAAAACACCACAGGTATCAGTAGATGCAGTGGAATCTATAATACTTAATTTTCAAAATTATATGTTTTGCGTGCTTCCTTAGTTCTTAAGTAACAGAGATTTGCCTTTATGTTCTTACTGTGCAGTTATCTTTGCTTAATTACTTTTGCAATTATATGCTTGTTCTTACTTTCTTGTAGCCTTGTCAGAATCTATGCAAAAAAAAAAACAAAAAAACAACAAAAAAAAAACACATCAGCTCCTTTTGATATTTGATGTTATGTTATTTTCTGTAACAAAGGAATATGTTTGCCATTTGACATAATCTTCCTCTAATGTAGTTCAGTAGCAGGTTACACAACTTTATTTCTCTTCAAATTTGTAGTAGAAATAAAAGCTGACCTCCAGCCCTCTATGTCTCTAACTGACAATGTGGTTAAGGTAGAAATCTCTGCTTAGCAATAAATACAGTATTGTTAAAATACATTAATACAGCTATAACTGCAGTACATTTTACAATGATACGTTTGTGGCCTTTTATAGTCCACGTTTGAATTTGCTTCCTTGATACTACTTGAATACTGATGCTTAAGAACAAATTAACATGCAGTATTACTTCTGTATACTTTTATATTTCTAACTGTTTCAGAGGCATAGACCTCATTCTGTCAGTGGGTCAAGACCTTAAAATAAAATCTTCAACATTATTTGGATATTAATTCATACTTAGATTGTGTAAGCTGTGAACTCGGATTTTGGAATTCTGCTGTATTCAGGTGATGAAACTTATAAAGAAAAAATGACTAAATCGATGGAGTTTGACACCACTGGGAGTGCTCAGACTTCCTAATAGTTGTCTGAATCACCTGAGTCTCCTATCAAGTATTCATTAACACAAACACAATGCTTCTTTCTGTGGGAAGGTGAAATTCCTGTTCTACAGAAAGCAGGTAAGGGCAAACTTCTCCTTTCTGCAAAAAGCCAGAAAGAAGATGTGTCTAGAGGTGTGTTTGTTGAAGTGTCTGACTTCTCAGTGAGAATCTTCTGGAAAATGCTTAATAGGTGCCTCTGTTTCAAATGGTTGCTCTCAACAAACAAACCATCATTTTGTGTGCCAGGTAAAACCGGAGGATCAGTTCTGCCAACAGAGGTCGTGCTGTAAGCTCAGCCAGTAGGAGTTGTGGCGGCTCTACTCGTGCTTGTAGGGCGGGCTGTGTGCAGTAATGCTGTGTTTCTAGGAAATGACTACTACTTGTTCTGCTGTTGTGTGTGAACAATTGAAAACTGGGTAATATGAAGAGAGATAAATTTCAGAGCAGGCTGTGTATCTGTCAGCTTTGCCAACAAAGATCCACTTACAAACAATACATAGTTGCTTCCCTGATTAGTAAATCTCGACTGTGCAAGCACGTCTGTACGAGCATGCAAACAGCACTGCAAATAAGCTCGGCACGGCAGTGCTTTTACAAGGATAAGGTCTGGCTAAAACCTGTGGGGCGAGACTAGCTGCAGTCAGTGCACCCCTCACCACCCCCTGTTCTCGGAGGCAGGAGAGAAATCCCGTAGCCGGGAAGCCGCATCCTACAGACCCGCGCCGGGGCAGCGACGAGTGCTGCGCCGCTGACGCCCGAGCTGCAGGCGGCGCCTCCCCTCAGGCCGCTCCCGCCCCTGCCCGCCGCCAGAGGGGCGCCCGCGGCGGTGGGCGGAGCCGGCAGGTGAGGGGCGGTCGCGGCAGCCCGCCGTGCGGGGACGCGCTGGAGGGAGCGGGCTGTGGGAGCTGCTGCGCTGCCGGCCGGCCGGACGTGCTCGAAGCATAGGTACAGCGAACCTTCCGAAAGCTATCTGCACTTACTAGAACGGCTAGAGCAATTATGAAGCAGATTAAAATCTGGCGAACTTTTTGAAACGCCTCTGAACTGCTGCGTTACACGCAGGCGTTTCTGAATCTCTGTAAAGAGCTTCTGGGCGTGTTTTCAGTAATGAGGTTTAAGCATTAAATAAGAGCTGTAAAAGTAGGCTCGGGCTTAATGCACCTGAAAGCACAGCGCTCGAGTTCTTCTGGTGTCTAGCTTGCTTCTTAGTCTTCTGTAGCCATTGCTATTTACTTTGTTTTGTTGTTAATGTGCAGTGGATGTAGCTAAATGAAGGCTGTTACAGTTGATGCTGTGCTTGAAATTGTTAGGGTAACTGAAACAGGGCCAGTCCTACATCAGCCTGCAGCTTAGTTAAGAGGGCTTTTTGCATAGGTACAAGTTTGTAAGGTTGAGGTCTTAATGGCTTATTCACAGAGCAGATGTTCAACAGAAGATTAATAAAATAATTAGGTTGAAATCTTTCGCTCTTGTCCATTCTTGGTAGAAGATATTGGGAAAGAAAGAGAAAAAGCAGGCAAAACCTTATCACGTTCCCTTTTCGAGAATGCCTACCCCTCTTCTAAAAGAAAGTATCTTTTCAATATAATCTAATAAGCTATAAAATCATGCTTTCTGTTTGTTATTTGTTGTTTGAGGAGTAAGGTATGAAAAGTTTGTGGCTATTTATTTATTTTTGTTATCCCTGTAATTGCACCAGAAGATAATTGCAGTAATGACTTAATATGAAATTGCTTTGTGGAAGTTCAAACCAAAGAAGCTGTGGGGGTAGTGCTTCGTTAAAACTTCATGCAATTCAGCTGAAGTCTAGGAGGTTGTGGGCTTAGCTGGGGGGACAACCATAAGATATGTGCCTTATCACTCATAAATGTTTCCTCTGTAGCATTTGGGTTCTGTTTCTTGTTGCAGAACTTCCTCTGATCCCGATAATGATAAAGATTAACACTGAGATGCAAGTCAAGTAGAAGTTAAATGCGTTATATGTTCACTTACTACAAGTAGAAACTTAAAGGCGATTTTATTTAGACTTCATCACTGTAGCAGAAAGATTGGCTGTAATGTAAGTACTTGTATTTAAATTTATAAAAGTTTGTTTAGAAAGAAATTAGAAGTCTTAAATTTCTCCTTGAATGTCTTCAGTGTAGGAAGAGCATGAGGATGAGGCATGTTTGTTTTGTTGTCATGTGAGTCTACGTGTGTGTTCCTTTTTCCATTTTGAGAAGGAATTATTGTGAATGTGAATACTGTCTGTTTTCTACCCTTGCTTGTGCAGCTGTTCTGATACCACAGCATTTAAGTGAGCAGGAGAAATAAACCCGAGCTCCTTTTCTCAGAGGGAAAAATGATTCTTGAACAGTATGGTTCCCTGTTTCTGTTTTTTTAAGAATGTATTTCAAAGGAAATGTGGCAAAGTATCATGTGGGCAAACATCTTTGGTTCTTACAGCTTATTCTGCTTTAGACAGCTTTTTCCTTTCCTGCTTGCCCCTTTCTCTTATGGTGCTCAGGAGATAAATTTTGGCCATGATGGCTTTTATTCCTTCTGGTTGGCAATGTCTTTGTCTCGCCTCTCTTCTCCCTCTCTAAAACTAACCTTAGGTTTCATACTATGCAGCTAATGAAGTTCTGTTAAATAATTGAAAGACAATTTCTGCAAAGAGATCCTATGTTTTTGTGGGCATTGTGCTCATGTGCTCTTTGAGTTGCCAGGGCTTTCTAAGTTTTCTGTGCCTGCAGAGACTAGGAGTCTTTTTCAATACAGGAATAAGTAAGTTTAAAGTGTGCAAATTTAGCATGGACCCTGGTTCCCTGTGTTTTCTTCCGAGATACGCTGATAACACAGAAACACTGCCATGCAAGTGCTGTGTGTTTATAGATAGCTGCCCCAAGAAACATCTCTCTAACTTTTAATTCTTCAGTTGTTTTGTGGTCAGTTCTGAAGCCACATGGTAAATCTAAATCAGGCTGCCAAATCAGCCAGCTGAAGGTGAGTAGCTGTGACTTCTTTCATCCTTTACTTCTTGGTGGCTGAGGGAAAATACAGCTGCTTTTTGTCTTTAAAACTGGATGGGTTTAATGTATCCATCTAATAGACCATTGAACTCCTTCCTGTGTTTTATACAAAGCCTGTTGGATAATCCTTTGCAATCCAGTTGCTAGCTGAATCTGCATGGATGTTTTTTGAGACTTTTCATAAAGATACAAACCGATTAATTAGCTACAGAGTGACTGATGTTATGATAGTGTTTCCTGTCTTCATTCAGCAGGTTTTACTCTGTAGGTGGAGAATGTGGAGTGCTGGAGTATATTTACAGGTTAAAAGGGAAAAGGGACTTTTCAAAGCAACTGAGTAACAAGTTAAAGAATAAATTTTAATCTGGAAGGTGCTATTCTATAAAAAAAAAAAAAAGAACAAACTCTCAATTCCCTGGCAGTACATAGAGAAGATTACTACAGTTAATCCTCTTTCAAAAATAATAATAAAAAAATAATTTAAAAATTGCTTCTCAGTACAGCACTTCTTTTCCCATTGTGGTGTTGGGCATTGTTTGTTCATCTGCAAGCTTTTGAGTTGAGGGAATCTGCCAAAGAATATTACTTGTTTCAAATCCTTACCACATCCTCTGCTATTTCAACTAGAATGTGAACCTGCTCTTTTTTCTTGTCTCGTTGATATTCAGCTTTATCTCTTCTGGCAGCAGCCTTTTTTGAAGATTTCTTTTAGATGTATAAGTGAATTTAATACTGCAATTCTTCTGAAGCTTAGTTTTTAGTCTCCCAAAGACTTCCTTAACATACAAATCTCCATCAATGCAATTTATTTCATTATTTATTTTATATATATGTCTATAATAAATATATATATAAATATAAATATATTTATTTCACTAATGACATCTTTTTTTTTCTTTTTTTTTTCTTTTTTTACTTTAGATATCAGAGCTCAGCTTGAAACAGCTCTGTGCCCTTCTTATCTTCACAACCATATGTGCTGTCAGGGAACTTCTTTACCTGATGTTTCTTATCACTTAGTGCAAAATGGACATGACTCTTCCATAAAGCAGACTCGTTTGCCTGGTACATGGTTAACAGCTCCAGCAGAACAACTTTTTTTTGGTCTAAAGATAGAAAGGATGGTGTCTTAGTTCTCCTAGCCCATTGAACATAAAAATTCTGGTTGACCTAATCTTTCTACAAATACTGGGTGCAACTGTAAGGCCTTCATGCTGCTGAGCAATGAAAGATACCACTGCTTTCCTGAAAACAGTATTGTGTCAGAGCAAATCATCACATAATAAATTCTGAGATTAAAGGGTTCTTTTAACTGTAATAGGCTATTCAATAACATGACCTCACATGGTTTTTCATGTTTCTAGTTCCTTAAAGAAATCATATTGCTTGGATTTCCAGCATCCAAAAGAATTTCTAAGATAGTATTTTGCTTTTCTGATAAAAATGTATTTATTTGTCTATCTCCTCATATCAAATTCATGCCCTTCTTCTTGTATAAAATCTTTCAGACATCTGGTAACTTTAGTCTTCTGAAGAAAGAAGAACTTGTCACTTGAGAGTTCTTTGTCATATGTGGAGAAATAGACACGAGTTGTGGAAAGAAATAGCAGTCTGTGGTGATACATAGCTTGGAGCTATGATTAATAAATGAGTGGGAGTGATGTTAGCTTGGTATTTCCTCAATACTGTGGACCTTTATACATAAATGAAAACATTTTAAGATTTCTCTATACTATATATTTGTTTAAAGGATTTTGTTTTGTTTTGTTTTTTTAGAGAATGGCATAGCTGTAAGTAAAAGAATTTTTTTTAGTGATCTTTAAATTTGCTAAGAAGAATGGCCCATCTATTCATTATTAATACTCTTGAACATAAAAATGGCCTAAAACTCAATATCCAAGAATGTTCTTGCAATGCTCTGGTAGTTATTAGAATTACAATAAGGGATTAGTGTTTTCTCTTATATACTTTTGTTTGCAAACAGGTTTCTAAAAGTTAGTATTGAACTGACTCTTATAAGATGACTTGCAACCTGCAATCCAAATGTTTATTGTATTTAATTGCTCATTCAGATGGAGCTGCCTGGCCTTGCTTTTGTTGTTTTGATGTTTGTTTGCTTCCATGCATCTGTGGATGGATATCCAAATGGAAAAGTAAGAGAAGCCTGCACTAGCATGGTGCCCTGTCATGGTATCTCTCCAAAACTGTCGCCTGAGCATGTCATCACAGTTAATAGGACTGAATTTAAACCTGGGGACAGTGTAGAAGGTATGATCCCAATTATAATTTAAAAGCTTAATTAATTGTTTCTTTGTACTTTAGTATGTCTTTGCATGGGTAACTACGCCAGAACTGTGTAAGAAATTGAGTCTTGTTCAGTTGCCTCCTTCAGCAGCCACTCAGTGCTTGTGAAATGAGCTGGTCGTTGTGGAAGCGCTTCATTTTTTCTCTGCAGGATATTGCAACTTCCTTTTGTTTTTATTCTTCAGTTCAGCTGTCTGGTCCAGATTTTGAAGGATTTTTCATACAAGCTCGGGATGCAGAAGACTTGGACAGCCCTGCAGTTGGTTCTTTTGTATTAGCTGACCGGAGACATTCTCAGCTTCTGACATGTGGCCATACCACGGTACAGTCTACTATCTTAAAATGGGATGTTGGGCACTGTAGTGTTTGTAGTAGTTCACATATGTAATAGCGCAGAACAAATCTTCCTACTCTTATTTTTGAGCTCAGTAAATCTCTCAGGAAATTACTATAACTTTTATTATAGAGGCATGGTTCACTGCAATTTTGTCTGATTATTTTTATGAGCTATTTAAATTCTCTAGGTCATGTAATACTACTGTAGTAAGGTGTAGCAGGCATAGCACAACTTGAGTACAATGAGTGTAATGTTCTGCATTCATATCATTGTGCTTGTTCTTAAAAAGATAAGCATGTGCTCTACTTGCTTTGAGGAGGAGAATTATTGAGGACAAAATGAATGTCTTACAGCGAGGAAAGTTTAGGACAATTATTGTGGAAAACAAAGGCTAGAACAGGCCATTAACTGACAGAACTAATACAAAGGATAATGTTAGTGGAGCTTTCTTCTTAACAGGTTAGATCACAGTCTCGAGTATTTTAGATGAATTGGTTTAGCCTCACGCAAAGGATTGACTCTGATCATTGTTTCAGCAACCAGCTCAAAATTTATGAACTTACTTGAGCTGGACTGAACAAAGTTCTCAAATTTGCCTGGATGCATTTTTCTTTCTCCTTGTCTTCCACTTGATACGTATGGAATCCAATTATTCATTAGTACTTTAAGGCCAATGGCATTGTTGATCATGATTAACTTAAGAAGTTTTTGCTGTGACTGTATTTGCAGGGTAATGGTGCAATATTTATTCAGGGTTTAAGTTAAAGCTCTTTAGTGTGTATTCTGTGTAACTTTTAATATGTTTGTTTTCAGAATTCAGCTGTTAGTCACACAAATAAAGCAAAAAAGAAAGTTGTAAAAGTTTATTGGATTGCTCCTGGAGATGCACCAAAACGTGTGCGATTTCTGTAAGTAGTCCTAATGTTAGTTCTGGCATATTAAAATGCAGAAGATGAATGTGTAGCAATTATTGGCCAGCAACCGGGAAGGGTCCCTGGACTAATGACCTGAAATGTCAACACATACACTGTAGAGTCTACATTAATGCAGGTGTTTGTTCTTTAGGGAAATCTGTGAGATGCTCATTTTATTTTTGAGATGAGAGTAGAATGGAGTTCTGCAATTTGGTATTTCTAGTTAACTGATGAATTATTGTGCATATATGGTGCTGTAATACACAGTGTGAATCTTTTTCTCTGTACGTAACATAATTCTCTTCCGTTATACTGTCAGTTTTTTTCTGGAACTAAGGGATATAAGTGAAGTTATAAATATCTGTCTTCTAAGACTGCTGTTTGTGCAGGAAGCATGAATATAAGGAACATGCAGTAGGGTGCTTTGACATTATTTTTCCATTGGTATTTTAGGTATTTTCCTACTTAAAACACAAGAAATGATAGAGGCCAGAAATATGCTACAGGAACAGCAGACTTTTTTTTTTAATAACATTCAGCTGTTGATGCATATAGTACTGATCAAGTGTGTGTGTGGGGGGGGGTTTCTTAAGAGCCACAGTTGTGAAGAAATACAAGACTTTTTGGGTGAAGATTCCTGGTCCTGTTGTTTCTCAGCCTAATGCACCATTCTCAACAACACCCTTGTACACAACATCAGAGGCTGTATCAACTTCACATTCAGCTTCCTACTTAACAAAGCCTGTAAGTAATTATAAACCCAGGAAGTGCAATTTCTTATGCTTGTGATGAATGGAGTTTAAGACCCATTGATATGGTCTCAGATATTCTGCCCCTAGATTGGCAGAAGGGGGAAGATAAAAATGAGTAACTTGTGTACTGGATACTAAGAGCTTTAGATGTCCACTTTTTGCATTAGGTTAATTACATTGAATCTGTGTGGGTTAAATGTTTCACATCACACATAGGCTAAGTTATAAATGTTCTCTCAGCTTTTTAAAGGCCAGATTTAAAAAAAGAAAAATAAATTGTATATCTGAGAAAAGAGGTGAGAATGGACTTCTGATCTTGATTCCAAACCTCCTATTTAGTAACTGCAGGTTCAGAAAGTTTTGATTTAATCAATAGTATTGACTTCTGTTTCTTGTGTGAGGAAGAAACACTTGTGGAATGAGAAAGCATCAGTAGTTGATTCAGAGCAACACTGATTTTTAATGCATGTATTGTCTCATTGCTTATCAGTGGGATTTCTACTTTTAAAAAGGAAACAAAGCTGGTCTTCCTTTCTTTCCTACTCTACAGCTGATTTTGACTTCTCAAGATTAAACTAGGACGTTTTCCCCCAAAATTTAAAGTTACTGAATGAAGTCTTTGAAGTGGGAATTCAGTTTAACTAAAAGTACATCTTACTGTGTAAAATGGCAATAAATTCTACCCTCTGGTAACTGTAGGAGTGAATTAAGAAATTGGTATATGGGCATAGATAGCATACAAGGAAGTGGAAATAAGTGCCTTCTTCTAGAGTAGGTTGAAAAGGGAGGAAGGAGAGTGAAAAACCCTCATTGCTTATGTCATATTTGTTTGATTAATATTCTAGTTTAATGCATCAGATTGTGGAAATACAAAGTTCTGCCTTAGGAACCCTTCAAACTGTGATCCTGAGAGTGCTTCCTGCTTTTTCCTATCCTTCCGTCAAGAGAGGAGATCAGTACTTATTGAAATGAGTGGTCCCAGTGAAGGATATTTAGCATTTGCACTGTCCTATGACCAATGGATGGTGAGTATCCTATTCTACTTCTCTAGCTTCTTTTGTAATCCTGTAATCCTCGTAGAGTTTCAGTGGTACCTTAGCAAAACATGCATATGGAAAACTGAAATATTTCTAAATTGAAAACAAAGACATTTCTTTCTTATAGTGCCGAAGAAGAGGTAATGACTTTTTATATGTGGTATGGAGTCTTAGCTTGAAGCTGACTTTCTGCAGTAAATCCCCCTTATGGATATCTGTGTTCACAGAATCCAAACTTAGTAATAGTACAGCACCTGTTTGGAATTCTTGGTAAGATCAATCTTGCTTTGCTACCTAGAAGAGAAAAACCAAATCGCTATTTGTTCAAAGCTATGTTGTTAAGTTTTCTGAAAACCACTTGAATTTCAGCATCGTTAACGCGAGGGACTCAATTCAATCTTTAAAATGTGTTCAGGGACTTTTAATTGCAGTTGAAGTGAAGGGAAAATGCTGCTGACAAATATGAAATCCATAAAGTAACAGTTGTACAAAGGAGATACTTCTTATTTTCATGTTCCTAGTAAAAGAGAACTTTGTTCTTAAATACTTTATATCTATATGGCTATGAGAAACCACTTCTAACTAAAGAGATTTTTAAAATACCATCAATATCTGACTCCTATCCTTTTTGGTAAGTTTAGTAGAATTATAAATATATGGAAGAACTTCTAATAATGTTGTCACTTAGGGGTAGATGGGTAGGGTAAGTCATGATGTGCCTGTGACATCTGTTCGGCTTAATGTGGGTCCCCTGTAGCACTGAGATGTTTGGAAGATGGGAAATAGCTTAAAAGCTAGAAAATTTTGTCTCGAATCTTCTACTATACCTCTGATCAACACTACCAATTTGTTGTATGTATTAAATCAATGTGCTTTAGGAGGTTGCCAGTAGGAGTTTTTACTAATCTATAAATACTTTTTCCTTTTAAACTTTCTAGGGTGATGATGATGCATATCTGTGTATTAATGAGGATCACCATGTTAGTGTAAGCACTGCTTACCTGAAGGGACGAAGTCCTCCTGTTCTGGATTCAAAGGTATGCAGAAGCATCTAAACTTTCCAACAAAAATGGGTTTGAATTGAGTAGTCTATGACTGCTTTGTGCTTTTATTTTGAAAAGCAGTTGTAAATAGTAAGTTAAATGTAGAATTCTTTAAAGTGAGAATGGTTAGGCTTTTTCTTCCTAGGAAACTTTACCTTTGGAAGCCTAAATTTATTTTAAAAATAAGTAATATGACGAGAGAACTCAGTACACTATGTTCTACTAAGGAGAGCATATTTATGAGTTGTAAAAACTTGTGGTAATAAATACAAACCTTAGGTTGCTACACTGACTTACTGACGTACCTTCTAAGTTATTATACAAAAGATTTTTCGTTCCCCAGATCATTGCCTCATCATTTCTTTGTGCAAGTGATACTTGCAAGGCTAACTTTAAACTAGTTACTCTCAAAATTTGTTTGGATGTATTAGCACAGCAAAAGGTGAAGCAGAATGAAGTCTTGACATTTTAGCTAGAAATATTTGCTTAACCAGGGGGTTTAAAGCAGAAAAGTGAGTTAGGACCTCTGCAGTACACAACCTTGTTAGAGTGGTGAGGTGCTGGAGCAGGTTGCCCAGAGAAGCTGTAGATGCTCTACTCCTGGGGTGTTCAAGGCCAGGTTGGATGGGACCCAGGCAGTCTGATCCAGTGAGTGGCAACTCTGCCCATGACAGGGGGTTTGGAACTAGATGATTTTAAGGTCCCCTACAACTCAAGCCAGTCTTTGGTTCTGTGACTGCTGATTCTTACTCTTAACGCTTTCTTATGGTTGTACTGGGCTTTTACTTTGTCTGTGTTCATGGTTCTACAGAAAAGGCTGGTCATTTATTTGCTATTAATGTATATCTTATCTTGAAAGCAGTTGACCCAAATTGTGATGGTCTGACACTAGAGTTAAACTAGATATTAGGAAAAGTTAACTTACTGTGGGGGTTGTCAAACACTTGAAGAGAATAACTGTTAAGGTAATTGATACCTGGTGTATATCAGTGTTCAAGAAGCATTTAGATAATGCTCTTGATGTGCTTTAACCTTCAGTCATCCTGAAGTAGTTAGGCAGTCGAACTTGATTTTTACCTTCCAACTGAACTGTTTTATATCCAATGCTCTGTTACTGTATTACGATCATCTAGAACTGCAGAGGTGAAAGAATTACCTCTTGCTTTTGTTAGTGTAAGAAATGCTTTATCTCATTACTTGAGATATCACAGGAATACTGTTTGTGTTGCCAACTTGAAACAAGCTCAAGCAGTGGTCTTCAAAGCAACAAAAGAATTGTTTGTCTGGAAAAAATGTTTTCTGTTTCACAGAATGCTCTTGAAGATGTGTCATGGAGGCTTGTGGATGGTGTTCTTCAATGTTCTTTTAGAAGGAATATTAGTCTCCCTACATATAAGGGGAGGTTTAACATGAATGCCAGTTACTACATCTTTCTGGCAGATGGGGAAGCTAGTGAAGGTAAATCTGATGTGTGGTTGCTTTTATTTTTTTTTTTATTAGCTCTAAATGAGTTGCCCCAGTATAAGATACATTATCTGTAAAAATTAGTATCCAAACTAAGGAGTTGATTTCCAAGCTTGTGTGAGTCACTTTGTCCAGTCATCTTTATTGTCTCTCAGATTTGCTCTTGGAAAATAAAGTCAGCTTACTTGTATACTTGTGTTGCATACCCACTTGATCCTAGCAACTTTTATCTTCTTGAAGGCTGGGTGCATCCATTTTAAAATGGAGAATAGCATCAGCAGGAATTATTCTTCACATCTTGTGTGTGTAGAGATCTGTTTTCTATGGAGGAATGATTGGTTCTTGTATGTTAAGTACATACAAGGTAGATTAGAAGACATCTTCAAATTTTGATTCACAAGCTGCGTTCCTACCTTATTTCATGTTAGATGTTTTGTGTAACTAGCCTCCATGGTCACGTTTAAATTCATAAATAAGGATTAGATTTATTTTGCAAGTGCTGTAACTCTCATATGCCTTAACTAAACAATTTTATCACTGGTTAGGTGGTCCAATATATAAGCATCGCCATCAGCCTCTGATCACCGATGGAATGTACAATGTCACAGGCATTCCTCAGGATATTGGAGGTTCCCGCTCCCCGAGACTTATCAAGGCTCATGGTAAGCTGCACTTTTTAGCTTTGACTTCCAGTCCAAGATTGGCTGAGACTAGAGAGCTGTTTTACTCACTATTGTATAGTAGGTATTTCCTCTTGTCTTTCTGTCATTGGCATTATACATACTGTTGGATAGCAAGATCTGAGTCTGTGAAGTCAGAGTAAAGTTATTGTTTTCTATTTCAAGAACATTTCAAGAGAATTTTCTCAATTGATAGTCCAGAGCCAATGAGAGAATTATTTTCTCAGTACTGAAATGTAAACCAGGCTTATGAGAGAACTGTCACTCATTCTGTTGAAAGCTTGTAATAAAGGTCAATTATCATTCTTTGTATAAGCTTGTATGAGCTGCTCCATCATGCCAAGAGTGTTGTAAACATCTTTATATGGATGATCCTACCTGTTAGCAAGATAAAATGCTACAGAATTTTAGACAGCACTAGGTGATTAAAAACTTATCAATGGCGTATTCTGACTGTATACATACAAAATAAGCCATTAAAACACAGAGTGAAGCAGTATTAACATGCAGTTGAAGTAGTCATAATTAACTGTTTCTTTTTTTTCCTGTTTTTCAGGTGCACTGATGTTTGTTGCTTGGATAAGTACAGTTAGTATTGGTGTAGTTGTTGCACGATTCTTCAAGCCTGTCTGGACTCATTCATTCTTATTTGGAAAAGAGTTATGGTTTCAGGTGTGCAAAATCTCTCCCATATCTCTAGCTGTATGTTCTGCCTCTAGTTGGCAAAATTAAAACTTACTATATCTTAGAAATAAGAGTTCAAATTTGATGTTGTTTTCTTTATTTAAACTTGCAGAATAACTGCAAATCAGAAATTTACCTACTTCACTAGTAAAAGCAAAGTCCAAAGAGGCAGCTAAGAACATTCTTACCTACAGATCATTAGATGTATTTTAATATTTACTAGAAAAGTTATGGAGTTTCTAAATGTGAACTTCATTTTTCCAGGTGCATCGTACACTTATGTTGACCACCGTTATGCTTACCAGCATTTCTTTTGTATTGCCTTTTATATACAGAGGTGGTTGGAGCAAAGTAAGTGTAGTTTTTATTTTTAACTCTTACTAATATAAAAGTAGAACCAAATGAATGAGAAGTAGGTCCATTGCTGATTGATATGTTGTAACTATTGTCAAAGAAATTTCCTGTAAATCTGTTAAGAAGGCTGACTTCAGATTCTAGCAAAATAGATGGGGGATGTTCCCGCCTTCAGCAATAAGTAGATAAAATTCCATCGGATTTTCCTTCCTTCCTCTTTCTCCTAAATGAAATCCTTGGTTACACTGGGGTTCAGGCAGGGATCTGTTGCTGTCACCTGTATGTTACCTGATGCAAGGTGATTCCAGAAACAGGGAAGTTCTCCGAGAGAATCTCTAGAGAGAATCTCTATTAAAGGTGGGATACAAAAGTCACAGGCATGAGTTGATAGCTAGGGAAAACGAATAAATTCTTATCTAGTGAAACTAGAACAAATGGAATGAAAGGGGGAAACCAGTATTGGGAAGAGTTAAGAAATAGGCCTTTCCTAATGATATGTGGTTGAGGATGAAGAGTTTACAGCATTGCTGCTACAGTAATACCACTCTTCTGTTTAGGTGGAAGAATTTATTTGTACAACAGAAAAATGAGGCAAACCCTGAGCAGACTTACTCATGCCTCCTTCTCCTTTGGAGAATCACCTCCATTCAGCTGTGTTCTGTCACCATTATCAGTTTAAGCACACTGCTGTTCTACCACTATGACTTACTTTTGCTAGCTTATGTAAAATTAACATATTTCTGATATTTTTTCCTATATCTCTATATGGATAAGATATTAAACAAAAAATGTTTTATGTTTAGCAAGCAGGTTTTCATCCGTATCTTGGCTGTACTGTGATGGCTCTGACAATCTTTCAACCTCTTATGGCAGGTTTCAGACCATCTCCTCATGCACCAAGGTACTCACAGCTAACTTATTAAATCTTAATCACAGAAATAAAATGTTTTGTTACCTGCTTTAGATAAATCTTTTCAGTATCTGTTTTCAATTATTTTTTTCCTAAACATAATAAAATGCTTTTTTTTTTTTTTTTTTTTTTTATTGCATAGGAGGCAATTGTTTAACTGGTTTCACTGGAGTACTGGTACAACTGCTAGAATACTAGCTGGTGAGTAGGAGTGATAGTTGTAACTGTCTTTTATGTGATACGAAGAAACTCATGCTGTTAATTATCTAGGCTATTATTCATCTAGAGCATCTATCTGGACATCCAGATGTTGAGTTTTTAGCTCACGTGATGTTTTCTGGTGTGAGGTAAGTTATTCTAATTTTGAAACTGAGGAAAAAACTAACAACAAAAAATCCAAAGGATTTAACAATATTATATGGTCTGTGTTTTTCCTACACTCAGCCCAGTTTAAGGTGGAGGTGCAAAATGTGTTGTCTTACCTCATAGCTTTCACTTTGTAATATGAATTCTAGAGATTTTTCTTTCTCTTTTTCATGGCTATCTTCTGCACCTTTAAAGGAGAACAAGTGGCTCATAATACCAAAGTGACTTGGACAAATTTGTTCTTACAGTAACATAGATCAGTGTTGCAGTCTTGTTTAGCTTACAGAACTACAAACTGGTTTTTATTCTCTTTGTGGAGAAAAGGTTCCACGTTCAACTTGGTCACAAAAGTTTCAGTGACTGTGGTCATCCTCATAGTCAGAAATGCTCATGCTTTTATGGCTGTGAAGAGCACTGTGCAGGATAAAAACTGGTCTTCTGGCCTTCTTCTTTCTGTTTCCATACCCATTCCATACAGTAAAAGCTTCTTAGTTTCACAGACTCCTTTAACCTCACTCCCCCAGAAACTATAGGTATTTTGTGGGAAATCTGTTCACAAAGGTGTGTTAAGAAATTTGTTTTATTTGCCCTGACGCAGCACTCAGCATCTCTTCATCTCATTTTTACTGATTAGTGGTTACTATGTTCTTGGGAATGGATCTGCCTGCACTTGACCTACCAGACCCATGGGACACCTATACAATGATTGGTTTTGTAGCTTGGCATGTTGGTACTGATGTTCTTCTGGAGATACACAGCTACTGTCTCATACGTAAAGGTACAAGTCCAACTGGGCTTATTTTCACCTTGCTTGCAAAAGATCTGAGTGAGCTGAATTTCAAGAGTTTTTTTTTTTTTAGTTTCTAACTTACAAGCTGAAGGGAATGACTAGGAAATAATGGTGCACAAATTCATATAGCAGTAAAAGTTTTCAACTTTTAACTCATAAATGTTTTGTTCAGCTCAGATCTCACTATCTTGATTCATTCTATTGAAAGGCAACTTTGTTTTGTCATCTTAATGACTGTAACCTACTTTTTGTAGGTCAACTCAATTTGTTTCTGCTGTAAAGTTTGTGAAATGTCAAATGACTTCCAAGCGCTTTTCAAATTTGTTGCTGTACAGGAATGATTTACTTAGTCATAGCATCAAAACTTCTGCTATATGAATACAAAAAAATCCCTTCCTCTTAAGAGCAGACAACTGTATTTTTTTTTCTTCCACATAACAGTTGAACTGATAGAGGATGACAGAGTACAGATATTGCAGTCACTCACATCTGCAGAAGCAGAAGTAAGTAACCATTTTTACATACCTACCCTGAGATGATTTTAAAAACAAATAAAAATACTAATACTTCTGTGGTTTTACTTGTTTTCTTCTATTCTCTTGCAGGGTAACCTGTTTAAACAGATTGTGTTAACTATTTATGTCTGTGGAAACATAATATTCCTCATTGCCTTCCTGGCAGCAATCAACCAAGTATGAAATAAGAAATGGAGAACTTTGCAGTGAAGTACCATGCAGCTGAAAAACATGCAAGGAATACTTTCTATTGTGTTTCTGTCAACACATCCTTGAAGATGTGGTTGAAGAGCAATAGCATGTGTACAAGGGAGAAAAATTCAAATCAATAGAATGCTGGAATTCTGCAAAAGCTGCCTTCAGGTGTTATTTTTAATGGGAGTCTTTGCCTGAGTAAGGAATGAAGATTTTTTTTTTTTTTTTCTTTAAGTATAATAATTTACGTGGTTAGAGTTTACAGGCTAAGAAGAGTGAGAAGATGCACTGAAATCACTGTTTTGATAGTCACAGTTCCCTAAACCTTTTGGGCATATTACTGGGAAAACTGGAAAGTGTGATCCCAATTCTGTGCTCTAATGACATGGTTTGACAGTCTCCTGCTTGTGACAACTTTGTCCCACACAAAGGAAAAAAAAACTTACTGAAAAAATCTGCCACAAATGCTTGAGCTAAACATTGAGCTAAACATTGTTTATCTTTGCAGTTCAATGCAAAAATTATTCTCTGCTCTAAGAGCAGTGCACATTTACAGGGATAAGGGCTTGGGAACCTCGGTTCTTTAGTAAGATCACCATTTTCATCATTCAAAATACTGTTTTGTTCTCTCAGTGCTTCCAAGGCATAACAAGGAAAGCATGTTTGCAAATGTACTAAAACCTGGTTCTGCTTATCCAAAACTCAAACAGGAAAAACCTATCCGTGTGCATGTACTTGTTCTGCTGTCTCTGGTCACTTGTTGCTTCTGAATTGCTGTTTTGTACAAATAACATGGGGCTTATGCAACTTGATTCTTAAAGATAAGTGAAAATATTTGCTCAGTTATATTGCAGTTGTATTTGCTCTATTGAATGCACTGCTGAAATAGTGATTTGGAATCGACTTCAGGAAAATGCATCTCCCTTTAGTGTTAAATGAGCATTCTTTGAGCTGGTATGTCTGACTTTTTCAGAGACGCTTTTTTTAGTCAGTAACTAATTTATCTTAATAATATGGTATGGGGAATGGAGGGGAGACTATTCTCAACTTCTTTGGTTTCTGGCTTGCTTAGAGATTGAGAGTCACTTTTTAACTGAAATCTCATAAATTAACCCTTATTATACTAATTATACTATGTAGTAAATGCTTTGCTTTTTTTAATTAGTTGTTAAACTTCAAAGTATACCTCTACCAAAGGGTTGTTAACCTAGCTAAGAATAAAGGCATTGACAAATAAGATAGGACCCAGTATTCACTGTTATAGATATAAAACATCATAGCAAGATCTCTCTGCTACCTGATGCTCATGCCTAAGGCACTTCCTGACTAAGACACTAGTCAGGAAGTTGTTCTTTCCATTAACTAAAGCTGTCTAGTTCAGCCTCTCTTTTTTCTTGAAATTCACAATGCAGCCTGTTGCAAATATAAGTTATTCAGAATGTATCAAGTTTGTGGACAGAGATCTTGCTTGCTCAAGTAACATGCTTAGTTGTAAGAGTCTTTACAGAGCTGGGATTAATCCCTTTTGTTAGCAGCATAATAGATTACAAGTGAGTGAACCTCCTTCCCTCCAGCTGGAGAATACAAGAGAAGGCTAAGAAGAAATATGGCAAAACTCAGGCTGAAGGGCAACAAGCATTTTCTTTGTGATGTTTTCAGTTTGTTCTTTGGGTATCTTTGACTTCAAATATGTAGGAGTCTCAGACCTATCCAGCACTAAAATTTTGGGAGCTCTGCAATATACTCAGTTTACAGAAGAAAATCTCTACTGAAACATGATAGATGGCTTTTGAAATTAAGTCAGTGGCAGCTTCTTTCTATAATACAACAGCTGTGCTGCATTGCTTCATTCTGATGTGTAAGAGGGGGGGTTTTAAAACATGAATGTAAGTATCTTAATAATTGTTTCTCTTTTAATACAGTGGAAACACTATCAAATAAAAATTAGACTAGTTTTGCATAGTAGTAATCAATCAATGTTTTCATTGCAGATGCTTTTTTTTACAAATTAGCAATTTGAAAAGCAATTCAAATGTTTCTTGGAGAAACTCTTGAAATTGAGTGTTAGAAATTGGATGTTAAAATGTTTCTTTACTGTGGAATAGCTCTTTCCTGAGAGCTACAGTTTGCAGACTTGTTAGTTGCTCTTAAATAATGCTCTTCCCTAGTACTAGTAATAATCTGTAGTTTGTAATATGAGGTCTTTCCTGACACATTCCAGTATCTTCAAATCAAAGTCTTGTTAATTTTTTAACACCTCCCTGCCCACCTGCATGACTAGAAAGAGGAAGCAAAGTGATTGTATTAGAGTGACTCTTCCAAAATTGCTGTTACAATCTTTGAAAATAAAAATAAAACTATAAAAATGAAAAAAACACCGTGCAAGTGTTTGATGGGGAAAAAAAAAAAAAAACCAGGTAGCAGGAAGTTTGGTTCTAGAGGCACTGGTGGCTTAATATTGTCTAGAAGGAGACTCCTGGCGTTTTTCTTCATAAAGGAGTCCTGCTAAAGTTGACAGAAGTTTTTATGAAAAGATCAAGGTTTTGATGATTCTAGTCTCGGATTAAGCTTCTGATCAATATCATATTTCAGATTGGTTCTTTCTAGATTGGTAAATTCTCCCTATCAAGTAGGAATTCACCTCAAAATACTGCTTATCTGCTCTTGAAAGCTACAAATAATGTTTCTTGAATATGTTTCAGAGAAAACTAGGTAGTGCAAATTGCTTAAATGCGTTTGAATTTATTGCTGCTTTGCTTTACTTGAAATCTTTTTTTTTTTTTTTTTTTTTTGCAAGCAGAAGTTTGGGTGCAAGATGAACGAAGATTGGAAAACATTTTTAATGCCAAACACCAAACTATTTGTTTGTTTTGGCAAAAATCATATGTAGAGACACGTATTGGGTGTAACGTCAATGTTTTTTCATTTATTCAGGTTTGAGAAGGCTAGAGAGATCTTGCCTGTTATTTTCAATCACTACTTGTAACACTGTGTGGCGCTCTTGTTCAAACAACATTTTTATTTGCCCACAGTGTAAAGTTCAGGCACGTAAACAGCCTCCAAAACAGGAAGTCTTCCTAGACATAATATTCATAATATATCTCAAGCTTTAGATTCGAGCCAGTTCATACAGATAGACATAATGTCTATGCTTAAGCTCTGTTGGAACAGTAATGACTTGCTTTCTTTTGGAATTAAGCTGTGCTTTACATGTGAACATCTTTTTTTCCCAAACAACTTAAGATGAGTGACTATCATGGAGCAAGAGGGATGATCTGCTAGTACTCCTGAGAAATTCTTAGCTCAGATCAGTATGATCCTAAGCTTTAGGGTGCATGTATGTGTGAAAGGCAGAGCTGTTCCATACGTTTTTCTGAAGGGAGTGGTACAGCAGAACAGACACAGGAAAAGTGAAGAACCACCCCCACGAGCCCCCACCCAGCCAGATGCCAATCTGAAATTTTAAAATTCTGCTTGTTGTTGTTCCACTATCCAAGAGGTTGGTAGTAACAAATCAGCTTGTGCTGTGTGTGGTGTTTTTACGCTACTTTCTGTTTTTTGGAACTGAATTTTACGTGACAATCTACTTAATATTCACAGTTCTGATGTCTTCTCAGTTTCCTTCCTTTTAAACTATTTCTGTATTGTTTGCCAGATCATTTAAGGATATTACTGGGGAATGCAGAGAATGAGTGCCCAAATTAGTCTGCTTCTGTTATAAAAGCTGCCTGTGTCACTTTTTCCTACTGTCCAAATTATATTCCATTGAGAACTTGTAAAATACATCTTAAAACAAAACAAAAACAAGCCACTGAGTGTAACTGTCAGAACTAAGCAGTAACGGGAAAACAAATGTCTTCAGAAAAAGAGGAAAGAAAAAATTTCTACAACAAATAAAGTCAGGCTAGATGTAGAGAAAATGTAATTGTTTATTCGTTTCCATCTCCAGGTAACCATCTTTCACAATTCCTAACATCTGAGATTATCCACTGTCTACTTCAGACTGGGACCACCACCTGCTTAGAGGCTTTATGTCAGCTGATTGCTACTGTTGTACCTCAGTATGAGGTAGCGGCTTCATTTTCCTGCTTTGAAACGAGGAAGGCAAGCGAAAGTTATTTCTGTTCTTTGGTTGTTATTTCTACAACAGAACAATACAACCTGACCTTTATCCACTTAGCGATTCAAACCAGTCTAAGACCTACCAAAAGTAATGCTATCATACTGATTTGAATAGAAGGATGTAGAGTGATGAGGCACTTTTTTCCCAAGAACCTGGTATTAGAAAAATGACTAGCATGTGACTTTCCTATGTGTAATTATACCTTATGGCTACTCTAAGTGCTGTAGCCTTCCTCCATTGTGGAAAGAATGACCATGTTGAATGGTGGGACTCTGCTGCCTGTGGGGGACCCATACCCAGCAGCAGCTGCCCCCAGAACAGACCTGTTGCAGCTGCAGGATGAGCCATTGACAAGTTGGTTTCTGATGGGAGATCTGCACTAATTTTAGCTCCCCTGGCTGATGAAACCTGCGGACTAAGCAATAATGTTAATGACTGACAGGCACTGCCTGCCTGGCAACCAGCTTTCTGGAAAAGTAACACTTTGTGTAGTGAGCTAAGGAGGTGAAGCCATGCCTGGGAGGTCAGGCTGTTTATAGTGTTACGCATGGAGTCTGTGAGGGATGGGCAGGAAACATGCATGTGATGTGGGGAGGGGAACAGGATTTTAGCATTGCTGTACTGTCCTCTATAGAGGAGAAGGATGGGTGGACTGTGGTGCTCTAGAAACATGGCTAAATACTTAAATGTGGGCTTTACTATTTTAATATTGTTCTACTCTTAAAAAGGAATGCTTCAAATTTTGCACAGGATACTAAGTTTGGAGATCAGCTTTTATATAGACTTTTTTTCTGGCCTCTATCTCTCATACTTAGTTTTTAACTAATGTTTAAAAAAAAAAAAAAAAGGTTTGAACATCATTTTGAGTCAAACATCAGACCAGTATGCTTTAAAGGGAACAGCATCCTGTGAAATTTCCTGGAGGTGGGTTTTATCTGCTGTGTATGTAGCAACAATATATTTCTGATTGTAGGGACAGGTTATGTGTCTTCCCTCTTGGATATACACTGCATTTATGGTCTTGGGCAACTTTC